TAAACTTAAATTATCACTAACAAGACATAAACCTAATTGATGTATATATGAGAACCTAGAGGTTACAAGGAACGTGTATAGGTTTAGCCGCACGCTCTCTATTTCTCCATTCAAATTTTCTTTCATTTTCTCCATTCTAACACAGAAACCAAGCATGTAGATATGAGGAGAGGCTGATTTTTATCTCTTGTGACAACCCCTCCCTATTATTTTTGGTTTTATTGCAATTTTTTTATGTTTTAGTTAAATAATCTCCATCTAGTATGCCATTTTATGTGAAGTATTTACATTTGTTTTGTTTATTTGAACAAATGTGAAATTTGTGGAGAAAATTTTAAATATATGATGATCTTTGTCTTTTGGAACCTAGTAGTGCTGCATATTTATCCATCGGATTCAGTGGTTCAAATCCTATATGTTCATCAGAAAGCAACCAGTTCATGGATAATTAGGCTATGTATATAAGGTTGAGGGAGTTTGTCTAGCCAACAACTCTGAAGATCTATCAATTTTTTTAAATTCACCTTTCAATTTTCATTTAAATTTTTTATTAGATCAGCAAACAATAACTATTTTAATTATAATTAATTTGTTCTATGTCTGGTCCTCAGGCGAGGGGTAACGTCCTCCCTATATTATTTGTATTGATTTGAAGTTTTTAATGAAATTCAAAAGAAATTATATTAAAAAATTGATTTATATATAAAATTTGAAACTAAGAATCTTTATTGAACTTTCATAGCTTATATATAGAAAATTATTTAGATGATTTGACTTCGGAATATAGAAGCCAAATGCTTTTGTTATGTTGAACTGGTCCAAAAGAAATTGGAAACAACTTCTATCCGATCACCCATTTATAATTAATATTTTAATATTAATTTCTTTTTTTTCTGAATGCATGAATTTACTTTTTCAACCTTTCAACTTTCCAGGCATTCTAAATTTTATAAACGACTTATTGTATACTTAAACTTAGGTTTGAAAAATATTTTACACATTTCATGTCACGACCCGTTTTCAACGGTGGACCGGCACTAGGGTCTGGGTGAGTTTAAGGCTTCCTAGGTCCGTAGTAAGCCTGAATCAATTAAGCTTATTCTCTTCACAATCGTGGCCTCATTCCCAATAATCATAATTTCATAATCAAAGCCTAATTCGATACTCCATAGACATATCGAAAATACAATTTATGTAATTAATACATAAATCCATATTATTTAATTACAGCCCATTTCGGATACAATTGTGGAACTCTATAAATTATATATATATTTTTTTTTTGCATATACATAATACAACTATTATTATTTTTCTTTATTTGCATCTTAACTCAATATGATTCATAGGGTTCTTCTTTCCTTCTATTACCTAGAAAAATAAGTAGTCAAGGGTGAGCGCCAAACTCAATGAATAGGGTTAGATAACTCTCTCACTACCTAGAAAAATAAGTAGTCAAAATTCATAGGGTTCTTCTTTCCTTCTATTACCTAGAAAAATAAGTAGTCAAGGGTGAGCGCCAAACTCAATGAATAGGGTTAGATAACTCTCTCACCCCACACAATCATACATATGATAATCATGTTATATAATCAGTAGCCCTCTAGCTAACTATGGATGAATAAGCAAGTATGAATGCATACTTATCAAACAAGTCACAATAATTCAGGTAATCAAACAGTGGACATTAGTCCGTGGAATCACCCATTATAAACAAGGATCATGCTCACCCCCAAAGCATGCTTTAAAATAATTTTCAAAAAAATAATTCACCATCCTTGTGACAAGTGCACTGAAGGAGCCCATCACCATTCGGGCTGGAGGGACCTCATCCATCTATTTCTCTTTTCTTTCCTGTTCTTTTCCTTTTTGTTACTTTTCTTTCTTTTTCTTTTATCATTGATGCACATCAAATTATAGAGTACACAAGGGGGGCGCCACTCCACTCGCTTACAACCCATTGTCGGCACTCTCACCATGCCCATGCTCTCACCCCAGGGTGACCCACATTATTCTAATTCCAGGGCACATCACAGATAACTCATATTCAATGACAAAATTTCATATCACTCACACAGTGTATGATATCCAACATCTCTATATATTCCAATATAAAACTATATGTGTTTGATGTGGCTTATGGCATACACGCTTATATGGCACTTCTACATGTATGCATGTTTCACGTAGATATTATATTATACATATATGCATGATTGTATAATGCATAAGTGATGCAGGTTATCTAACTCTGCTCACAGTTCTTTATCGTCCTTAATAAGACTATAGGACTATCTTTGTTACAGCTCCCTTGCAACTTTTGTCTCGTCATTTTAGACCTTATAAGCATCTAGAAAGAAAATTCTAGTAAGAATTTTAATTTTAGAAATTTAATTCTTATTTATTTATCAATTTTGGTTAATATAGTAGTTCGTCTTAACTTATCAAATCGTATATCTATGATTACTTTATTTACTTATTTACTCTAATATATAAACTTTAATAAATTTTGCAGTCCTTTGGTAAGTAGTAGTAATAATAATAATAATAAATAATAACTTTATTTATTATTATTATTATATTAGTAATACGAGTACCGGTAATTTTATTAGTTATTTCTCTTAATGATATAATTATTTTAATTCATTATTATACATTTTACAGAAAATTTAGTTGCATCTCCCTTGTAAATCGGGATAGCGTCAAATCACTGTGTCAAAGGCACAAATCAATATACAGCCCATCCATCATGCATTATCTTTAATCAAAACTCATTCTCCATTATTTACATACCATTTGAACTATATAAATAATAAGTGGATATCCACCAAAACGATAACCAGATATCGGATTTTAATCTAACTTCCCTTCGATTTAGGTTAATCTATCAACTGACTTAGTTAAGTTAACATTTTAATAAATTTCTGTTTTAGTTATACATTTAGCTCAACTAAATTGAAACAATAAAATTTGATCAACAAACTCTTATTATTATCGAAAAATTTAGTATCAAAGTCTTAGGGCTCACCGATAGGAATTTCGTTAACTCCATCCCACTGCCCGAATCGATCAACAAACTCTTATTATTATCGAAAAATTTAGTATCAAAGTCTTAGGGCTCACCGATAGGAATTTCGTTAACTCCATCCCACTGCCCGAATCGAGATAAGAATTCTGGCTCCTATGGCCCCGCTGGAGTCTTGCAGACTGGTCACCAGAATGTCGACGTCGGCCACTGTACACGATGGCTGAAAAATCGACTATTGCCGGAACTGAGCAACATATACACCAAAATGCTAGAAATTTCATGGGGACTCAGAATCTGTGATGAATTTGGACTGGGTGTGTCTCATTTGGCAGGAAATGGCCTCGACAGTAGCCTTGCCACTGCCATCCATGGCGGTCTTGTCATTAAAGCTTCAGCACTGGAATTGGTGGAGGGGGAAAGGTTCGCCTAGAGGAGAGGAGTCGATCGAGACCCACCTCTAGGCCTAGTCTCGTCGAAAACAGCATGGATCGCCAGAAGACGGAATCACAGCGGTGACGCTTCACACCGACCGAGTTTTTTCTCGATCCAGACCCTTATTTCGCAACCCAAAGTCACCAAATTGTTCCTCTCATCGAGCTCTTAAGTTTAGAGCCCTTAATCACCAGATTCAATGGTCGGTGGTTGGAGAACGAACAAAAGAAAGAGGAAGAGAGCTATCAGGGTTGGTGAGAAAGAAGAAAGAGGTTTTTTTATGTTAATTTTTTTGTGAAAATAATTAATTCTCCTTTAATATTTGACCAAACTAACTATGTCACCCAATAGTTTGACAATATTAATTAATGATCTCCGAGATTTATCTCTGTCAAATCACTCGGTCCTTCCATCCATTTTCTCCAAATTTTAAATTTTTCTATTAAAACCTTCGAAAAAGACTTAAATACCCTAACATTTA